GAGAAAGAGAAAGGAAAATATATTCAAGGAAATAATGGTTGAAAACTTCCAAAATCTGATGAAAAATGCTATTTTGATGAAAAATAATAAGCCACACATCCAAGAAGCTCAACAACCTCTGAATAGGAAACTGGAAAGAAATCCACACCCAGACACATCATACCCAAAATGTTGAATGACAGGCAGAGAGAAAATATCAAAAGCAGTGAGAAAACAATTTATTACATTCAAGGGAAACCAAATAAGAGCAATAGCTGACTTCTCATCAGAAACAACGGAGGCCAGAAGGCAGTGGGATGACATATTCTAAGGGTTCAAAGAAAAAAAAAAAACCTGTCAAACAAGAATCTTCTAAAAAAACAAACAAGAATCTTCTATCCAGCAAAACTATCTTTCAAAAATGAAAGCAAACAATGAGCACACTCAAATTTTGGTTTCTAATTCTATTCTCAAATAAAAGGAACCAGGACTCCTTGGAGAAATGGCTAATTCTAGGGCTGGAGCAGGAAATATAGGAGATGAGTCTCAAGCATTTTCTTGTGCCAGAAAAGAAAAAGTGTTCACACATGCACACACACACACAAATGGGATATGTTGAAGGGACACAGAAGCCAACTGAAAGAGCTCCCAATGCCCAAGGTGAAACAATGTGAGTAATAAAACAAATAATATTAGATTATAACCCAACATATAAAATTAATATCCATGCTCACTTCAACAACACATGTACTAAAATTAATATCCATGAATTGATACTGATATAAATAAATGATTAAAAAATGGAGAATAGACAAATGTCCCAGACAGAATTCCAAATAGTTTATAACTCCCCACTTCTTAAGTGTGAGCTGCACATGATAACATCCTTCCAAAGAGTTGAGTCTGAAAATTGGAGGAAAGAGTAACTGTACAGTAGAGAAACCCTTTAATATTACATCAGGCAGGTGATCAAAGTTAACATCAGCAGTGGTAAGTCATGTTGACAGTATGCTCCCTTGATGTAATGTGATGAAAATGGCACTTCACCTCTGCAATCTTCCTCCCGAAAACCATTTAACCTCAGTCTAATCACAGGAAAGACAGCAGACAGATCCTAATAGAGGAACATTCTACAAAATACTTGACCACTTCACAAAACTGTCAAGATCATCAACAAGTCAAGCCTGAAACACTGTCACAGCCAAGAGAAACCTAAGGAGATGTGACACTGAATGCAATGTGTTATCCTGGATGGGATCCTAGTACAGAAAAGGACATCAGGTAAAAACCAAGGCTATATGAATAATGTTAATTATAAATGTTAATTATAAGGCATCAATATTGGTTTGTCAATTTTAATAAATATTCCACTGTAAGATGTTAACAATGGGGGGAAATGTGTGTGAGATTTTTGGGAACACTGCACTCTCCACAATTTTCTAAAACAATTATAAAATAAACTTTTTTTAAATGAAGAACAAAGACATTCCCAGATAAACACACACTGAGAGAATTCTCTGCAAGCAAACCTGCCTTACAAGATATACTAAAGGAAGTTCTTCAGGCTGAAAACTAGTGAAAGTAGTTTAACTAGTGAAAGTAGCTTAAGCTAAAGTAACTTAAAACCACGTGAAGAAAACAAATAGCACATAAAGGTTATTAGATAAGTAATTATAAAGAACAGTAAAATTGCATATTCTCCTTCTCTTAGCTGATTTAAAAAGCAATTCATAGTAGGAAGGGAAAAATGAGGGGGGGAATCGGAGGGAGAGACGAACCATGAGAGACTACGGACTCTAAGAAACAAACTGAAGGTTCTAGAGGGGAGGGGGGTGGGGGGATGGGCTAGCCTGGTGATGGGTATTAAAGAGGGTACGTATTGAATGGAGCACTGGGTGTTATACGCAAACAATGAATCATGGAACACTACATCAAAAACTAATGATGTAATGCATGGTGATTAACATAACAAAATAAAATTAAAAAATATGAATCATTAAAAAAAGCAATTCATAAAAGCAATATGTATATAATTCTACTGTGGACCTGTGACATATAAAAATATATTTGACAATAACAGCAAAAAGAAGGCAGGGTGAAACAAAGCTATATTTGAGTAAGGAAATAACATCAGATGGTAACTCAAATCCAGAGGGAGAAATGGAGAGAACCACACAATGGTGAAGAGGAAGGCTAATACAAAAAACACTATGAACGTACTTCATCTTTGAGGCACCTGGGAGGCTCAGGCCGTTGAGCGTCCAACTGGTGATCTCTTGATCTCAGCTCAGGTCTTGATCTCAGGGTCATGAGTTCAAACCCTGCACTGGGCTCCACACTGAGCATGGAGACTACTTAAAAAAAACAAAACCCCTATACTTCATCTCCTTTCTTCTCTCAGCTTTTGGACCCCTTCTTCACATTCACAAGATTAACTCAAAATGCATCATAAACCTAAATGTAAGATCTATAAAACTTGTAACAGAAGACACAGGACTGAATCTTCATGATATTAAGTTAAGTAATGGTTTCTTAGATACAGTACTGAAAGTTCCAGTACAAAAGAAAAAATAGATAAACTGGAGCTCACCAAAATTAAAAACTATAAATAGCATCTTCAAGGAAGTTGGAAGGAAACCCACAGAATGGGAGAAAATATTTGCAAATCATATATCCAATAAGGTATTTGAATCCAGAATACATAAAGAATTCTTATAACTCAATTATAAAAAGACAACTCAATTAAAAACTTACTCAGGGGTTAAGAGTTTGAATAGACATTTCTCAAAAAAAAAAAACAAAACCACACATGGCCAATGAGCAAATGAAGGGCTGCTCAATGTCATTAGTCATTTGGGAAATTCAAATCAAAACCGCGGTGAGGTACATCACTTCATGCCCACTAGGACAGCCATTAAAAAACAAACAAAAACCCCTGAAAATAACAAGCGCTGGTGAAGATGCGCAGAAATCAGAACCCTCACATGTTGGTGGGAATGTAAATTGTGCAGCCACTTTCCAAAAACTGTTCTGCGGTTTCTCTAAATGTTAACCATAATATCCCCATGTATGACCCACAGTTCCACTTTTAGCTGTATGTCCAAGAGAAAAGAAACCATACATTTACACAAAAACTTGTATGTGAAGCTTCATAGCAGCATTACACGTAAGAGTCAAAAACAACCCATGGGAAACAACCCCCTTGACTGATGAATGGATAAAATGAGGTCTATCCATATAAGGAAATATGATTCAGCCATGAACAGAAGCAAAGTCCCAAAACATATTACAGCACAAATCTTGAAAATATTGTTAAAGAAGCCAGTCGTGAAAGACCACATACTGTATGGTCCCTTTTAAATGAAATGTCCAGAACAGGCAAATTCACAGGGACAGAGGGTGGATTAGTGGTCACAGAGCCGGAGGGTGGGAGTGAGATGAGGTGGGGAACGGACAAGGATTCCTTGCAGGTACGGGACTCCTTTCTAGGGTGACAAAAATGTTCTACAATATTGTGCTGATGGTTACACCATTCTGGGAATATACTATAAACCATTAAAATGTGCACTTTAAATGGGAGAATAATATGGTATGTGAATTATAAATCAACAGAGCTGTTAAAAAAGTTCACAAGAAATCTAAAATATACTAAGCAGTGACTGCCCGGCTTTTAAAAACTGGTGTTATGTTTTACTTATAATCTAATAAATGTCCACCCAAACAAATACCACAGAAATCCTGCAGGAGGAGAGCACACAGACTTGTGCTCTAACTTTGTTACTGGTCACTCTGTACCGAGACCGGCCTTTTTGCAGGTGTTGGTTCTCCATCGAAGACAGGACGTGGGTGCCATGACAAAACTGAGTCAGATGCAGTCATCCTGTGGCTTTTCGGTTATCGTGGACAGGTCTGGGGCCACGCATACTGCTGGGGATACTTAGGCCCGTTCAAGACAAGGCCACTAATAACTGTACGAATGGCTTGGGAGGCTGACAATTGTCAAAGCATCACTATCCTGGTCTTAACAGATCACCACAAAGCCTGTGACACCTACTTCAAAGATGTGGAAACTGAGGCCTGTCTCATTAAAAGGCTCGTTGAAAGCTAGAACCTGGCAACACCAAAGCTTATGCTCTTTCCCCCATCTTTCCAAAAAAATCCTCTAAGTCACATCCTTTGTGCATTTAGCTTGCTGAAATTCAACTGTACGTACTCAGCAAAATAGAGAGAGTACTAAATCACAATGGAGATGTAAGGAGCTCAGATCATGCCGCATGTCTGTTCACACAGTGACCGCAGGCCCTGGAATGGGCTCAGGACAGAAGTCACAGGTCTGTCATCCCAGCATCCACTGTACTGAGTGAAAATTCCATATTTAAAGAACTCTCTATCCTTTACAAAGAACACTATATTTTGGCATGTGTACTTTTTCTCATACCAATTAGATGATTACACGCATTATAGGTTTTTTTGTGATGTTGTATACACGACACTTTGAGTATGGTACTTTTCAGGTCACTTACGGAATTCTCGAAGGTTATTTGGACTCTACATGATTTCTAGATGATTTCGTCATTTCTATACAACTTCTAACTCTAGACCCTAACCCAGGAGTAAAATACTGCTGGACTAAAATACTACTAGTACTCCAGGTACCATTTCCTCTTTCTTTTTTTTTTTTTTTTTTAAAGATTTTATTTGTTTATTTTAGAGAGAGAGAGAGAATGAGAGGGGGAAGGGTCAGAGGGAGAAGCAGACTCCCTCCTGAGCAGGGAGCCGGATATGGGACTTGATCCCAGGACTCCGGGATCATGACCTGAGCCAAAGGCAGCCGTTTAACCAACTGCGCCACCCAGGTGCCCCCATTTCCTCTTTCAATGACCCAGAGTTATTTTGACTTTCATGGTCTAGGCTTTTCTAGACAAAAACCAAGGTGGCTTAGGTCTTGATGTACATTGGCTCAAGCCCTTGTAGACAGAAGGAGACAAACACCAGAAACAGCATATTTTACCCTCTCCTACCTCCTCTACTTGTAGGGTTTCTCTTTCAATTTTTTCAAGTAACTCATTTCTCAGCAAGATCTCCTTGTCCAGATTGACAGACACTTCCATCGCTTGGTGTAGCTTGCTCTAAAATATAAGAACACAGCAAGTCTTGAGCAAAGATGATCGCTCAGAACTACAGGAAGGATGGACAGCTCTTTATTAAGCAGGACGACAGCAAGACCATCCAGGAACTTGGGTCTGCCCTTCTCAGAATCCTGGTGCCTACATGGTAGGGGAGGTAAAGACCTGCAGAGTGGCCGGACACACCAGGACCCAAATCCTGCCCCATCATTTACTAAAAGAAACTTTGGGCAAGTCCCAGAACCTCTCTAAACTTGGGCTGGTTGCCTCATAGGGCTGTGGAGAGGCTCAAGGGAGATAATGGTGGTAAAGTGTTGAGCAGAGCCCAACACATGGAGAACACTCATACAAATGGCTGCCATTACTAGATGAAGAGAGAGAAACACTCCCCGTGAGCTACTGGCATCCCACTTTACGGGTGAAAGAAATGACTCTTCGGAGGGTGAAACAATTGGCCCAGGGTCATAGAGATAAGAGGTTAAGCAGGGTTTGAACCCAGGCAGTCTGACTCCAGGGCCCAAGGGCTCCAGCACCACTGACCCTGGAAGGCTCCTGCATGAACTACTCCCTAGCTTCCTCTTGCATCACTCGCCGCTGCCCTTTGCCAGCTCCCCCGCCAGGCCCCTCCTTCTCAGATTTGCCCCCTTTGCTGCACCTTTGTCTCCCAGCAGGGAAGGTTCAGCCTGGAGGAGTTGGGACATGCTTTGCTGGGCTGAAGAGTGAGCCAAGTGACAGAAGCCAGTGACTCCGGGGGGGATCGCTCCACAGATTCTGAGAACACACTCACCCTGCACCAGGCACTGACCAGCATGGCAGCCTAGGCCCTGCCCGCCAGAGGCCAGCTCACGGCCTAGATGGAGGCGCCAGAAGCCATATAAAGCCGCAACTGTGCCTGGCGCTGAGAATGTGAGGACAATGGTCGAGGTTTCCCTGGGGGAAAGGATACTGGAAAGGGAGCTGAAAGGCTGTCGAGTGTGTCTAAGAGGGGAGGGCAGAACATGCCAAGCTAAGGAAAAGCCTGAGACAGGGGATGCTGGAGCAATACACCTAGGGGTATCAAATCTTAGACCGGGCAGAAAAGCCTGGAGCCACCTGCCTGGGGACCTCAGGGCATCGGGGGCCACCCCCTCATTTCTCTTCTCACCAATCCTCCCTTCTTTAAGGCTCATGTCCTGCTCCACATCCTGCACGACATCGCTCTGCTTAGGAAAGCGCCGTGAGTAAGAGACCAGACTGAGGGGGTGGGCTGTGGGGGAGGGGAGGCAGCGCAGGACTCCACTGCAAACCAGAAAGTTGGGTGGGGGGAAAGGAGAGCGGAGGGAAGGCATTAACCCCACAATGCAGAGACCCAGGGCAGGAAAGAATGGAATTGCAAAGGCTACTGCAAGGCAGTCCCTGGCTCCACTGGGGCTGGGCCCTCCAGAAGGTATGAGGAGAGCTATTTGTGATTCTGAGCAGGACGTCGGCCACTTGAGGTGGCTACTTCCGAAAAGGCACTTTAGCTTTCTCTTGCTATGTACCAAATTACCACAAATTTTGTGGCGTAAAGCAACACCCATTTGTTATCTCAGTTTCTATAGGTTGGAAGTCCAGGCACAGTGTGGCTGGATTCTCTGCCCAGGTAGGGTCCCCTGGGGCTGAAATCAGGATGTTGGAGAAGGCTGGCTCTCCTCTGGAGCTGGGGTCCTCTTCCGAGCTCACAGACTGTTGGCAGAATGCATTTCCTTGAAGTTGTAAGACTGACGTTTCTGTTTCTTTCTAGCTGTGAGCAGGAGGTGGCCCTCGGCTCTTCGTGGTCCCTCTACCTTCAAGCCAGCAGTGGAGAACTTCTCACCTAGAGAATTCCCTCCGTGCTTCAAATTCCTGACTTCCTCCTCCAGACAAAACTCTCTGCCTTTAAAGGGCTCATGTGATTAGGTCAGGCCCATCCAATAATCTCCCATTCTTAACATCAACGATGGCAGAACAGAATCATACTACATAATCATAGAACAGAACCTAATAATAGAACCCATCATCCCCACAGCCTTGGAGATTGTACTGGGTATATACACCAGGGGGTGGGGAGTCTTGGGGGACATCCTGGAATTCTACCTACAACAAGGGACTAGTTTACATGGGGATCACTAGTTTACAGTCAGTTAGGAATGACACAACATGGCTGCCATCACACGCTTATATTTTACCAGGTTCCACGAGGCAGGGCTTGACAGCATAAAGGTGGAGATAAAGGTGCCCCTTTGGCTGAAGCTCCTGCATCAAACTCACAGAAGAGACCATGTCTGTCTCATTCATAACTATATCCTCAGCACTTAGCCCGGTGCCTGGCACTCCACGGGTCCTTGCATGTTTGGTAACATTTATTCTGTATATGTGCTGCTGCAGTGAACACATTGGTAACAGTTATTCCGCATGCTTTCACGAGGTCTTAGAGATAGGTATTTGATATTTATATGAAAGTTGTCCCTCCTGCCACCCTCCCATCCCCTAAACACACACCTCAATTGCTAGCAGCTCACTTGACAATACTGGCTGAGGACTTGCTTGGCCAGGCACTGTGCTCGGTGCTAGGAACACAGCAGAGACCAGCTGGAGCTCTATCCTGGTGGCGAGTCACAAAAACCTGCCTCTGACCCATGGTGCCTAGTGGAATCCCCATTCAAACCCAGGTGAGGCCTGACTCCAAAACTCTGCCTCCATTTCTCTAAGAAGACCTAAGAACTGACACACAGAAGAAATGAGCCTGCTTCTCCCTCAACCCATCGCTGTGTCCACCGGAGGACTCCTGCAGGCATCTCCTCCCGAGCTCCACCATCTGCTTACTATTATTTGAAACAGGCCTACAGGCATGATGACCCCTGGGATCCTGCCTGGAGAAGCTCCCATTCTACCCACTGTGGCCTGTGTTGCTGCTGCACGGGTATCGCAAACAGTCTGTCCTCTGCATTTAGACCTGTCCTAAAGAGCTCAGGCCCTGGACCTGGCAGTTTCATTTTACAAACCAGTAGCTCCACTCCAAACCCCTGGCTTTTCCACACAAGACCAGACAGGCCCTGTGCTATTTAAGTTGATTCCACAGGATACGATCAAGATCCAATGCGATGTAGCCACGTACTACCCAGCTCTCCAGCCAATGAAGGCTCAAGTCACAGGGAATGGCTTCATCTTGAAATTACAGTAATCAGATAAGCTAACTACTGATGAGATGAGGTCAAAGTGGAAGATCTGTTGCAGATGGAGGACACGTGAATTTCAAAATGCCAGGACAATGTTGTCTACGTGCTTTATGCCAGGGACAGGCAGCTGGGTTAGGTGGGACGCGCACTGGACTAGGAGGCTCAACCCTGTCAAAAGCTTGTTGCTTGAAGCTGGCAGTTACTCTCTTTGGACTTCAGGTTTTTCATTTGTAAAGGGAAAATGCTGGACAGACGTAATAGTCTAATCTAAATACTTCCAAATTTACATTTTAAAATGACACTGTGTGGGCTGAATGAAGACCACCTGTGAGTTACCTAAGCCTGTAGCCACCACTGTCCTGCAGGCACTAGGCCAGGCGTCAGCCACCTTGCTCTATAAAAGGCCAGATAGCAAATATTTATGCTTTGTGGGCCAAGAGGCAAAATTGAGGATATTATGTAATTACTTATATTAACAAAAGAAAAATACAAATTTCCACACATTTTATTGATGAAATTTAAAATATAATCAAGTACATTTTGGAATACGGGTCTACTAATGAGAAGATGGAATTTCTGGGGGAGAAACCAGTTTTGCTTAATTAGGTTTCAAAGGTAGCATTCTCTATCAAATTGGTTACAAACATCCTTCTGTAAAAACCATTCTTAGCTCACAGGCCAGTGGGCAGGATACACTGGCCCACAGTTAGCTGACTACTGCATTATACAGTTTGCTAGCAGGGTGGCTGGGCATTTATGGCTGTCGTCCCTGCTTAATTATTAATAGTACCTCTCTCTCTCCCAAAAGGGTTCTGTGTGGATGAGGAATCATATATTAGTTTTCTGATTTTTAGCTAAGAGAGTTTTCTTCTGGAGGGTTTTAAGGAGGGAAGTGCTTCTTACAGGCCTAAATTAAACAGGGCCCTAAATGTGGTTAGTCCTCAAGACTCACTGTGCATAAAAAACACTGGGGGCATTAAAAAAAATAGATGCATGGCCCTCACGTCATAATTCAACTGGTCAGGGTTGGACTAGGGTGTTTGTATATTTTTAAAAATGCAATGCACAGCTAGGGTTGCAGGAACACTCAGAGTATTTGAGGAGAATGGCTTTGTCAAGAGAAATCAGGGTCAACAGTAGATGGAAGGATCCCAAGCCCTTGTGTAGCACCTCAGCGGTGCATGGGAACCTCACTATGGCTGGAAAGGTGGGTGTGGGAGGCCTTGGGGACCTGGGCATCAGGGCGGACCTTACTTTGTACGTGTTTAGGACCTGCAGGGTGTTTCCAGACGCCAGCTTTAGCTGGATCAGTTCTTGATTCTTTGCTTCGATGGTCTCTAAAAACTGAGCATTCTCAATCTTCAGCTGCTGAAAATCAACATCGTGGAGAGCCTCGCCCACCTCTTCCTTCTATAGCTCAGAAAGAAGAAAGAAATGATGTGAGGTTGTGACTTCAGAATCTGACTCACACCTTGCAGTTATGGATGAGATTCTGAAAGTCAGTCATCATTCAGTCATTCAACAAACATGGGTGGGGGATCTGCTTGGTGGCAGGCATGGTGCAGGGCACTGCGGGGCGGGGGGGAAATCTGAATAAATACAAGACCCCCTGGCCTCAAGGAGCACATATTCAACCAGGGTTCACAGACAGGCCACGGTGTGGTGCAGTGGGAGCGGCAGAGGACACACAGAAGCCCCTCAGCCAGGCCAGAGAAGAATGGAAGGCTGGGTCAGGGAAAGCTTTCCACAAAAGGTAGTATCTAAACAGGGCTATGAAAGAAGAATAATAAGAAGACTGTATAAAAGTTATTTTTACCCTGGAAAACCCAGGACCAGCAGCCCATAAATTCCCTTCCTGTGATCACATGACATTTCTGTACTGTGGTTGTATCAGGGTACTGGGTTCCCTCCCCAACCTGCCTTACCTGCCCCACCAGGTCTAGGCCATCTTATACTGGTGGTAGGCAACAGCCAAACCCAGGAACTGTTCCGCAGCCCCACGCTCTACCCAAGAAATACTACCTCCAAGGAGGCTTCTTTCCTTTCCTCTAAACCAACACAACAATTTCCTTAAGCCCCAGTAATGACCCATCCTCCAGCTTAAACACTCCTAAACCATCTTCCACACCAGGAGAATCCCCCGCTGTGGTTCTGTGGTCCCTGCTGCCATTGCCCCTGGCTAGCAGTGATGCATCCTGCCTTTTCCTACCACCCCCACACCCCACTCATCTGTGAGCTCCTGAGGGCAGGACCACCTCATTGTCAGCTGTGTGCAGCAATGGCTTAGGCTAAAAGTCATCCATCTCCTCCCTCCCTCACACTTAAATCCCCTCCTCAGGATGCCTGAGCTTGCATGAAGCCTGGAGTACCAGGAACTCTCTATCTAGAGGCAGCACCTCTCTACTTTCTTACACTAATCTCATCATCTCAAATCTCCTTCGATGACATGGCCTCCCGGGCCTTCACTCCACTGGGGACCTCCAGAGCAGTGCATTCTCTCCTCCCCATAGCCCGTGCTCTTGGAGCCAGCAGCCAGCCCCCCTGAGTCTGCTTGGGCCCATCAACCCCAGGTCCTCTCTGATGGTCTCTCTGTTCCCCTTGCTCTCTGGCTCCCTCTGTGTGAGCCCTAGTTTACCAATTCTTTCGAGAGTACAGCTCTCACGGAGACCTGGTGCTCCCGGTAGGGCTACTCAGAATGAGAGGAGCAAGCCCACCCCTTTCTTGGGCGGGGGGGCCCTGTGATTCTCTGGGTGCAGCCCAAGCCACAGCATTGCCTCCAGCTGAGTTGACTTTATTAGGTACTCTACAGGAAAGCCACCTGGTACCTGTGCAGACCTGATCCTGGGGATCAAAATGGAGGAGCTTACATTTGTGCTCAGTCACTTCGTGTTGTTGAAGCTGTCCCAGCTTGTCTTTCAGGATCCCAAGTCAATCAGGCAATAGATCCAGACTCTGTGTCGTTGTCAGTGGCCACCTCTAATGCACAAGCTGTCGGTGCCCATATTCGAGTTAATTCAAGGGAGGGAGCCGTGTAATCACACTTGAGAGGCCCTGTGCCCGGTCTGCTTACTGCCTCTAATTAGGAGCCTTTAGTCGGCTGCACAGGCAACCAAAGCACACTCAAACTGTGCCACCCAGGCCACACTCACCAAAAAAGGTCAACAAGTACGTCACGAGGTCTTTTAAGTTCAAGCCAACTTCGTCTACAGATGTGCCGGCACCAGAACTGTAGGAGCTTCCTATCGCGGCTGTGACAAATTACCACAAACTCTTTGGCTTAACACAAAAATCGATTATCTTACAGCTCATGAGGTCAGAAGTCCAAAATGGTTCCTGGGGTTAAACTCAAGGGGTTGGCAGAGCTGCATTTCTCCTGGAGGCCCTGGAGGAGAATCTGTTGCCTTGCCTTTCTTAGCTTCTAGAGGCTGCCTACTCTCTTTTGTTCATGATCCCTTCTTCTACCTTAAAAGTTCATCACTCTGATCTCTGCTTCCAGTATCCCATCTCTCTCCTGTCTACCTCTTACAAGGACCTTTGGGATTATACTGGGCCCATTTAGATAATCCAAGATAATCTTCCTTTGAATCAGGGGGAGATTATTTTAAGATAATCTCAAGATCCTTGACTTAATCACCTCTGCAAAATTCTTTTGCTATGTGAGATAACAGATTCACAGACTCCAGGGATTAGGACATGGACATCTTTGGGAATGCACTGTTCTACCTTCCATGGTAATGAACGAACGAATGAACAAATGAAAGAAAAAGGAAAGAAGGAAGGAAGGAAGGAAGGAAAGAAGGAAGGAAGGGCCAGCCACGTACCTGCCTCAACTGTAAAAGCATCTTTTTCCTCTGCACTTTGAGAGAAACATTTTTCAAACGTAATTTATCCTTCATATTATCCTAAAAAAGACAAGTAAATTTTAATCCACTTCTCTTCATCTTCCCTGTTGGTTTGAAAAGTTGGTAGGTCTGGGGCCACAAACTAAACCTTGAGCCCTAACATTCAGTCACTTATTTTTAGGTCTTTTTACATTTACCCAAGCTGGCATTGCTGTAACACTTCACTCATGACAGGGGCTCCTGGGTGGCTCTCAGGGTCCTGGGACTGAGTTCCGCATTGGGCTCCCTGCTGAACAGGGGAGTCTGCTTCTCCCTCTCCCTCTGCCCCTCCCCCTACTTGTGTGTGCTCTCTCTCTCAAATAAATAAATAAAATCTTAAAAACAACAACAACACTTCACTCATGACCAAGAAGCAGAGGTAACTGGGTCTGCTCTGTGCAAATTTTCTACTCCTTTTAAATTCGAGATAATTTGGGTATATATTTTGGATATAGGGGCCATTCCTGACAAAATGACCTTATGATCCTTCGGTCTTTTATTCTCTTGGTAGTTTATATAATTTTCATCACTTATAACATGTTAAGGTTAGTAACCCTACCTACATCAAGGATCCAAAGCTCGACATGCTACAAAATCTCTGAAAGTGAAGGAACATTTTATATCTCATTGTTATAATAATGGAACTTAAAAGAGCTTGAGATTTACCTGTCCCGCTCCATACAGTCACCTGACTAGATAGACTCACACCACTTCTCTCTAGAAAACATCAGATCTTGAAACAAACAGCAACAATAAAAAACAAAAAAAATCAGTCTGAGATACTATTAATATTCACCTGGCCTGACTGATTTTAGCCTTGTTAAACGTGCATTTTAAGACACACACTTCAGGGGCTGCGATAAATCTCAACGTGTGGACAACATTTATGGTAGACCAAATGGAGTGGGGCTGCGTCACATGGATCATTTTTATGTCTTCATCCTATGAATCTATTCTCCCTTTCTAAGCTCCAGCCTCCTGCCAACTCACCCTCCGGCGGTTCATGTCCTCAATGTACTTCATCACTTTCTGAGTGGCCAAAATACTCCCTTTCTTCTTGGATATGGTTTTTAGAATATCTTTTTTAAACTCATACATTGCTCTCTGAACTTCAGCCCATCGAATTTCAGCTTCCTCAATGATAGCCTGGAGGAGTCAGCACAAAGAAAGAACAGTTTCCAAAAATCCTCAGGGACATCTCCCTCTAAGGAAACCTAAGTTCTCAGACCTCTTTGTGTCCTAATACATAATGTTTTCTTCTTAGCCTTAGAAACATATCTCTAAGATACAAATTTGACTAAATGAATGTTATTATTAAAAAGCAGGCCTTGGGGCGCCTGGGTGGCTCAGTCAGTTGAGCATCTACTTTAGGCTCAGGTCATGATCTCCAGGTCCTGGGACCAAGCCCCATGTCGTTGGGCTCCATGCTTAGCAGGGAGTCTGCTTCTCTCTCTCCCTCTGCCCTTCCCCCGTGCTGGTGCACTCTTTCTCTCTCAAACAAATCAATAAAAAAATTTTTTAAAAAAGCAGGCCTCAAAAAAAAGGGGCCATCCATAAGAAGGGGGTGAATAAATAAAAACAGGGCCTCAGGTATCTCTACATATATTTCCATATCTGAAATATTACTTATCCACCAAAAATTATAATATTAATATAATGTGATAGGATAGGATAGGATATAAAAAATAATCTGGAAAGATATACACCAAAACATTAGCCACAGTCACATCCAGAGAGACGGATGACCAGGGAGACCAACACTCTTAATATATATATACTTCAGTAATTTGAAAGAAGATGCTATCAATGAATATATGTATTGACACGGAAAGACAGTAAGTGCAAAATACAATTTACAAAATAATATAATACTTTTTATAAAGAAATTCATATATGCCTAGAAAATAATCTAAACTCTAGAAGATAAACACCTCTAGGTGGATTGTGGATGCTTACAAATGTTCTTTTAGCTTACCTCTACATTCAAATCTTGCTACAACATAGATTGCCTTTAATTAACACACACACACATGTTATTTGAAAGAATAAAATGAAAAGGCATCTGTAGCTGCAGAGCAAATCACCTTATTCCTGGCTTTGTCCCTGGGCACCAAGAAGCGAAAGCATCTTCCTTCACTGGCCAGTCTCTGCCCTCCCCATGGGCTTCATGTGCCAGAACATCAATCCACCATAACTGCCACTTTCAATAGGTCACTCACTCTCCTGCTCAGCCATCCTCATTGGGGTCCTGCTTTCTAAGGCATCAAAGATAAACTCCCCTGCCTGGCTCTCAAGGTCTCACAGCCCCAATTTCCTCATACAGCCCCCAAATCACACCAGCCCCCTCGATATCTTGGACTGGCCACGTTCATTCCCACCTCCACTTCCTTGCTCATGTCATTCACCTGACCTAGGGTGCCCTTCTTTTCCTAGTCCTCTACTTTATTTCTCATCATTCTTCAAGACCATGCCAAGCCCTGTGTATAGCCCCACCTCTTCAAAAAAGTCTTCTTTGGCCACTCTATCCCACATTAACATGTTATAATTCAACAATGTATGTCTGGCAAGAGAAAGAAGGAGGGGGGAGGGCACAAAAAAGGGAAAGAGGGAAGGAAAGTCAGGTTTATGTGGTACAGATGATTCCACCAATAAAGACATGAATCTACTGATCTGTCCCTCTGGAGGCAACGAATGTGAGTCTGTGTGCCCACGTTTAGAAATAGAAAAATTTAAAAATAGAACAGAAATATCTGTTCTTCATACAATAATGCTCTCCAATGCAAGCCAACACCTCCATCCATGGGCAACTGAACTAACAGTGATGTTTCTTCTCTGGAGGAAAACTGACCGTTATTGGTCTCCAACAAGACATGGACCATGGTCATGCGTGCTGCACCCACAAAGCGATTTAAAGGATTTTTCATCCAACTCACTGACTTAAACCCAGACTCCTTATATTATTAAGAAATTACCATACACTTTTAAGTGAATTTATGCTTATTATTATTATTATTATTTTTTTTTTAAGAATCCATATCTTAGGGGCATCTGGGTGGCTCAGTCAGTTAGGCATCTGCCTTTGGCTCAGGTCATGATCCCAGGGTCCCAGAATTGAGCCCTGCATCAGGCTCCCTGCTCAGCAGAGAGCCTGCTTCTCTCTCTGTCCCTCACCCAGCTCATGCTCTCTCTCTCAAATAAATAAAATCTTAAAAAAAATGAATCCGTATCTTAGAGACATACACTGAAATATTTATAGATAAATGATATATTGAGGTGTCACTTCATAATAGCCCAGTGGCCTATCACGAGGGAGAAGTTGGGATATGGAGGAAACGAGGGTAGCCATATGTTCATGACTGTTGCATGTGGCTGTTGAGTACACAAGGGTCCATTGTGCTAGCCTCTCTATATGTGTGCATTTTTGAAATTTTCCATTTAAAAAAGTTTAGGGGTGCCTGTGTGGCATAGTCAGTTAAGCACCTGACTCTTGGTTTCAGCTTAGGTGATGATCTCAGGGTCGTGAGATCGAGCCCCGTGTCAGGCTCCGCGCTGGGCGCAGAGTCTGCTTGAGATTCTCTCTCTCCCTCTCCCTCTGCCCCTCCCCCCTGCTCTCCCTCCCTCTCTCTCTTTCAAAAAAATAAATAAATGTTTAAAATTTGTTGTCTCCTCAAGCAGGTGGGAAGTTCCTTAAAAGTAGGCCTTAAATTTGTCTTCTCCTACTTATGTTTCTTTCAAAATAATAAAAATTATATGAAGATTCTCAATGAGGTGGAAGTGGGGAGCCCAGGTAGGGTAGGCTACAGAGAAAACGGTATACCTCATGATGCTGCAGGTCTCGTTCAGCATTTGCTCTCATGTGCCTTATTTCATCCTTCATGTCTTCCAGTTCCTTTTGTACAAGCTCACATTTTTGGTCGCAACTGAGGCCTACCACATAGTCCAGACCTATGCGGGATTTGGATCTACGCCTACCTCGTAACTGCAACACAAGGAAAACCAAGCCATTGTCAGGTAGGAATTGATGCTCAAGGTGGGCATCAAAATGACTACTGAGACCTGCTAGAAATTACTCTGAGTGACAGCCAGGGAGAACAAACTCAGTGTGAAAGGATTCGGGATATTAGGCCCAAGGTGATGTTCATTTCACAAGTCAGCCTAAGGTCCTGTGCTAAAGAATTCAAAGGCTTATGTTGGATAATGAACTGAAAATAAATAAGGGAAAGTGTCTTGAGGGTGTGGAAGGACTGTGAACCTGCTATAGACTAGCATTCAAGTCAGTATCAGGGGAAGCCCAGAGCTCAATGCTTCTTAAACTGAACACAGAAGAGAAATTGCTATCTCGGGGCATAGTATTAAGCAAAAAACAAAACAAAACAAAAAAAACAACACAACCAAACAGACAAAAATATTTTGATTCCCTACACATTTAAGCCAAAGGTCACCAGCAGATGGCCGCAGGGAACGTGTGGGCCTAAAGAGGAGATTGGCCCTCAAAAGACAGATCTACATCCAGTTTTAAATTTTCAAAAATTAATTACCCACATTTGAAAATCAGGAGAGTCCACTGAAATAATCTAGACTTCCAGCTTCTCTTGTAAAATTAGCTGCTCTGGCAATAACAGGCTACCTGGTTGGACTTTTAGACGAGCGAGGAACTCTCCTGTGTCCACAGCGGACCCACTTCACTCCTATATTTGGCTAGCTAGGCCTTGTAAACATTTGAGTCCCCCAATTTAAGGGAATTATTTCAAACAAAGATATTCTGGGTGAGTCAATCCACTATTAATTGAAATTGATTCCCTTCACACTCACTTGAAAGAGAACCTTGGGAGGTAAGGAAGAATCAAAAGTAGAACAGGAAGAAAATCACATGGCACTTGGCCAAAGAAATACACAAAGACCAAAGGCAGATACAAAATACCACTTGCATCTAAAGGAACAAACAAAATAAAAGAATTCTTAGGTCTCCACAGTGTACCTGTGCAAATTCTGCTCCTGATATTTTAATTTCTGATAATCGTGGATGTCGCTGATCTCTGGGCTCCAGTTTATTATAATATTTCTCAAACATCTCTGTCTCAGTTTTGAGAGCAGAGTTTCCATAGCTGCAAGACAGAGGGTACCTGAGTAAATTCTACTAACAAGAGTTTAAATCCAAAATAACTAGTATTTAACACTTAGTATGACCTACATATGACCTTCTGCAAGACACTTAACATCTGTAAAATGGGAATAATAACAGCACCTATTATTTAGGGTTGCAATAAGGAATGCAAAGCCTTTACAACGGTGCCTGGCACACAGTAAGTGCTATTTAAGTATGTGATTTTTAAAAAATGTTTAATGAGCCACAAAGTTGAGAGAACTGGGATTATATTGAAAATTGTTGCTGAGATGAAGCTACAAGTTCCACTGTCCAGTATCCTCTAACCCATTTGTGAAATTCCTTCTGAACTACTACATGCTTGAGATTACTACATAGGCACAATCTTCAGATGTCTCTTTGGTTTATGTTTCTCAGCTGTTCTTTCCAGCACCAGAGAGATGAAGTATCCACAAGAAGTGTATTATAAATGGTGGAAAAGCTTTGAACAGACGGGTTTTTAAACAACTAGATATGACAACTAGGGTTTATCCTGTATGTGCCTGCCAAGATTTTGACCTTTTTAGCTTTTCCATATATATAACATACAGGGTATGCGTGCATGTGTACATATATATATGAACAGCTTGGATATTTTCATATATTACTGAATGAATTCCTGTAAGCTGAATTTTAAGATTAATGGAAAAGGTTCAATGGAAAGCCCGAGATATCAAAACGCCTTTTTTTTAGCATATCATGCTCCGAGCGTCAGCGGTGGAGTCGCACCTGCGTCTGAATCCCGGCACCACCGCTGACTAGGAAAGTGAGTTAACCTCTGTGTCTTGGTTCCTCACCCACTTTCTAGGGCTACTGTGCCATTATAGAAGCTCCTACATGCAAAATAATTGGCACATAACAAGTATTCAAAAAATTGCAGCTATTAGTAATAGTACGTCAGTTCTGATCTAATCCATGTATAGACATATAGAAGGTACAACTATTCAGCTGCTAGAACGGGATACGCTGTGAGACCAAGAAGTACAATTGACCTCTGAACCTCCAGAAGCTGGCCGGCCGTACCTGAGCTCTTCCACCAGCCCACACAGCTGGATAACAGGCAGCTCGTTCTCCTCCCCGCCCTGCAATCTGCTGACAGGGGTCTCAGAGTCCTCATCAGTCATCACTCTGCCCAAGTGGCCCTTGGCCAAGGCTCAGTGAAGCCAAGAGCGCCGTCTGCTAGCGGCCGAGCGTCACGCGGGCTGCGACCTAGCAGAGCGTTGCCGTAGCGACCGGACGCGTGCGTGAGGGGCGGGGCTTCCAGAGGCTCCGCCCAGCGCTGCTCCACCCGCTTCCGTGCTCACCAGAGCGCAGACACCTACACTTCTTCAACAATCATTCTTAACATGCTAATACTAGCAGCTACTGTTTGCGCAGCACTTACTATGCCCTTGGCACCGTGCTAAGCATAGTTTATGCAAATCCTTGCAACAACCTTGTAATATTATCTATTATTCTGCTTATTCTCCAAATAGAGGAAACAGACCCAGAAAGTTAATTGGATTTGTCGGAGTGTCTCCTTCCCCTACCTCACTGTGAGGCCTCTACTCCAGGCACCTTCCAATGCCTCATACATTCTAACTGCAGTTTCTCTCAGATACCGATGCCCTTCATTTCTAGAAGGAAAAAAACTGGTTGATTATTAAATGGCATAAATTCAAGAGACATCCCTAAATAGGGATTACATCCTGGGGGAATGTATGAAACAGACAATTCCGGCTCTCGCTTCCAGTTAAATGAGGAAAAGAGCCCCTAAACCCGCTGTTGCTAGTGGAGTGAGGATAGCAACACTGTCTCGCCTAACACTTTTTCATAATCATCATCTCATTTAATCCTCAAAACGGTCTTATGAAATGAGTATTACTGTCTTCATTTTACAGATCAGGAACTGAGAAATAGAGTAGCTTAGGGGAGTTGTCCGTGGTCACACAGGAATGGAATCCAGCTCTGACAGAACCCCAAATCCATGCTGTTAACTTCTACACTGATGTGCGTCATGGCAACGATGGGCAAGGCAGCAGGGTAGTTTTCTGTCTGCTCCCACCGGGATGGAAGAGGGCAAAGGGCAGAAGGGGGCAATCTTCTCTGAGGTGGAGGTGGGCACTGGATGTGGTTAGAAAGCAAGCTTTGATAAACTGCTTGGAGTGGAGGTCAGCCACCTTCTCCCACCAAGGGACATGCCTTAGCAACAACATATAGTCACTAAACTCCAAAGAAAGGCTTTTGTTTTTCTGCATGGGGTGCACAAATTGGGGGCCAGAGTGGAATTATTGGAGATGATAGCAGAGAGGCTGAGCCCTGCCATCACCTTCTCTCTATTGGTAGGCCTCCCCAGGAGCAATGCAGACCACATTTAGAAATACTTTATATGCTCATATACCAGGTGATACAAATAGATGCCAGCCCCAAGAGGGCCTGGGGCAAGAAAGGACTCTGCTGCAGGTCCAGGCTAGGTGCAAACAGCCCTGTCAATTGCGCTATATGGTAGAGTAGACCCTACAGTGTTGGAGGTATCAGTGGTGGGAAAAGATGCAGTGTGAAGCTTAAAGCAAGATCCAGTGGAGGGACCACAATGCAGGACTTGGGGTTTTGGAAAAAGACCATGATGTCCACAGGAGGAAATTTCACACCTTTGGAAAAACAGCTCCCGGCCTGTTACTAGACCCTGGTAGAGATGGAATGCTTAAGCCTGCATCCAGCCCTGCTCATCGTGACCTGGGTTCTGTTGGATCCACCAAGGCATAAAGTTGGACAGGCCCAGCTTCAATCCACCGTAAAATGGAAAACTTCTGTCCAGGATCGAGTCCCAGTAGGACCAGAGAGCATGAGTAAGCTGCATGAGCAGGAAGTCGAGACCAACTTGTCATCCACCACACTCGCACCAGCTTACACTCATGACCACATTAAGGGAGGGAACAGGGTCACGACCAGCTAGAAAGGAGGGAAAAGCCTGAGCTTGGTTTAGAGATGGGCTGGTTTAGAATGTGGGTACACGTCAAACATGGAGGGTGGCTGCATGTGGGAGGCCCTGAAAGACAGTAAAGCAGGAAAATCTTTTCAAGGGACAGAGCTGCGAGTGGTTCACCTGGTCATCTATTTTGTGTGGAAGGAGAAGTGATCTCAGGTGAGAACTGGTTACAGGGACTCATCTAATGGGCAACTTTGGCTTAGGGACTCCCCATCGACCTGGCTGAAATGCTGTTAGATGTTATCATCTGAGAAATTTCTTTTTTTTTTTTTAAAGATTTTATTTATTTATTTGAGAGAGAGAGAATGAGAGATAGAGAGCACGAGAGGGGAGAGGGTCAGAGGGAGAAGCAGACTCCCTGCTGAGCAGGGAGCCCGATGTGGGACTCGATCCCGGGACTCCAGGATCATGACCTGAGCCGAAGGCAGTCGCTTAACCAACTGAGCCACCCAGGCGCCCTCATCTGAGAAATTTCCTCTCCAATCCTCCCTCTTTTCTTTCCGTGACCTGTATTGTGGTCTGAACACTCTCGCTGGCTACTCCAGCTTCATCTCCTTTGTCCATCACAGGCATTTCCCCCATTAAATAAATTTCTTCATATAGAATTCCATCTTGGCTTAGAGGACCTGAACTAATACAAATAATAAATTTCCATCATAAAGATATTATTCGAATTGAGCTAACAACGTAGTACATGTATGAACTGAAATCTGCAGTTACCAAACAAAAATACCTTGCTCTTTGCACTCTGTTTCACTGCATTACACTTTTTAAATTGTGGTAAAAAACACATAACATAAAATTTAACAACTTAACCATTTCCAAGTGTGCAGTTCAGTAGTGTTTAGTATATTCACATTGTTGTGCAACCAATCGCCAGAGCTTTTTTATGTTGCAAAGCTGAAACTCTGTACCCATTAAACAATAACTCTCGATTCACCCCCCTCCTCCCAGCCTCTGCCAACCATCATTCTATGTTCTGTCTCTAAGCCCTTTGTGACTGCTTTAAATTCCTCATATAAGCTCAATCAGAAAGTATTTGTCTTTTTGTGCCTGGCTTTTTCACTTAGCATGATGTTCTCGAGGTTCATTCATATATAGCACGTGTCAATTTCCTTCCTATTAAAGGCTGAATAATATTCCATTGTATGTACATACCACGTTTTGCTTCTCTATTCAGATGAATGGACACTTGGGTTGCATTCATAGTGCTTTAAGTTTTAAACACAAATAAACACAAAATTTCAAAACTTATTAAGTAGTACGCTGTTCATTATTTAAATGTGTGCAGTGTATTGTATGTCAATTATACCTTAGTAAAGCTGTAAAGCAAGCAAGCAAACAAACACGCTCTCTTCTCTACCCCAGCCTTATAAATCAAAGCACCTACTCAGTAGCTGCACTCCGATGTGTAGTGGGCATGTCAAACTTGACATACGGCCACTAAACTCATCATTTTTCTCCTTCCTCCAAATCTGCTTTTCATCCATTCTTCTCCATCTCAGTAACTGGCAACTCCATCCTTCCAGGGACTCAGGCCAGAAAACGGGGAGTAACCTCGATAACCCTTGACTCCCCTCTTTTTCTCACCCTTATATTGGAACTGTGAGCAGATCCCACTGGCTGTGCATTCAGAATAAATCTAGAACTCTGCTCATTACTATGACCACCCTAGTCCAACCTACCATCATCTCTTGCCTGAATTATTGTAGTTGACCCCTCATTGTGCAGTTTGTTACATGTCAGTTATACCCCCTATAAAACCTAGGGTGAGGAGGAGAAAACACTACCTATTTGCCAAATTTTCACCCCTTTTGTACTTCGCCTCCTGGGTCTTTGCTTAAATCAGTATCTTTGCAATGAGTCTTTCTTCATCACCCTTGGTAAAATTAAGTCCCCTTCCTACCCCCTTCTCCACCCCACCCTTGGTATTCTCTATCCTTTATTTTTCCTGTAATGCTTATCACAAATAAATTACCGTATATGTTATTTATTCATTTTTTAAAAAGATTTTATTTATTTAGTTTGAGAGAGAGAGAACGTGTAAATGGGGGGAGGGGTAGAGGGAGAGAGAGAATCTGAAGCAGAATCCCTACTGAGCATGGAGCCCGACTCAGGGCTCAATCCCACAACCCTGAGATCATGACCTGAGCTGAAATCAAGAGTTGGATGCTTAACCAACTGACCCACCCAGGTGCCCCTTACCAATTAACTTTTTAAAAGATTTTATTTATTTATTTATTTATTTATTTATTTATTTATTTGAGAGAGAGCACACATGAGCATGAGCAGGGAGAAGGGAGAGGAACAGGGAAAGAACCCCAAGCAGACTCCTTGCTGAGTGTGGAGCCCAATGCAGGCTCCATCTCATGATGAGATCATGACCTGAGCCAAAACCAAGAGTCAGACCGCTTCACCAACTGAGCCATGCAAGCGCCCCACTTATTCATTTATCTGTCGTTCCTCCCCAGTCCCACCCTACCCCTAGCAACTAAAATACAAGCTCCATGAGGGCAGGGAATTTTGTTTGTTTTGCACACAGCTTTATCCCCAGTACCTAAAACAGCATCTGGCATATAGTAGATGCCTGATATTTGTTAAATAAATGCAAGAATGTGAAGGCAAGACTATGAGGGGTTTAAGAGCTCAGGTTCTGGGATCAAACAGATTCAGGCTGGAATCTGGGGACAGTCATTCTTTTGTTGTATGAGTGACTCTGGGCAAGTCCCTCATCACCTCCGTCCCAAGGTCTCTTCCTTCAGAGAAAGGTGAATAAATGGGATAAATACCTAGCTCATGGGCAGCCAGGAAGATTCACTAAGGCAGAGGGGAGGTTTAGAAGAGAGGTGACAGAAGATGTCATTCTTGATCTAATTCTGACACTGCATTGCCACTGTCTTTACTCCCACCTGGGAGGGGACAGTAAACCTTGGGGAGGAGTAAACCTCAGGGAGGCCATTGAGCTAGCACCAAGTTGAGAATTTCCAGACACTAGGGAGGAAAGCTAAGTCAGCTGGGCATGCCTCCCTCTTCTGGCTTAAATCAGATGTCGAATCCTCCCCTGAGGTGGGCTGGTAAGGAAGGAGAGGTGGAGACTGCTCCCAAAGACAATCTTCCATGCACTACCCCTTTTACTCCCTTCCATTTGTAATCCAGAATCCAGCCTTGCCAGTAAATGACAGTAGGTTCCTCTCCCCGGGATGGGTGGATGTAGCTGGTCTCAGAAAGCACTGGCTTCTTCACAAGAG